ACTGTTTCTGCACTTGGCCTCGTTTTGAAAGTGAGGGTTGGTTTTTGGAAGTTGTTAAAGGCCTGTTGACAGCCTGAGTATCAGGCGTTTCTGGAGGAAAAAGGGGAAAAGAAAAGCCAAAATCTCCAGTCTCGTGACCCCTTAGATACTCAGACCAGCCTATTGAAGGACTAGTGTATAAGTGTTATATTTCACTTATTTCGCAACTATTATTTTGAATAATGGAACGGTAGTTTAACCCGTCCAGGGCCCGCGCAGGGGGAGGGGCTGGAGGAGCCAGGCCCCCCCAATTTTTGAAAAATAAAATAAATAAAATTAAGTACAGTGGAACCTCCATATAACGAAGGGTCAAGGGTGTGGCAAAATCTGTTCTTTATAACGAGGTTCGTTAACTTATATCGAAAATTAATCAAAGAAAGACTATCGTCAACTCGTGGGTACGTTGTTTAGAAAATAATCAATTAGTTATCACCTCTGGTTTTCCCACAGTGAATTTTAGGAAATGATAAGCCGCATTTCTAGGAGCCCAATTAAAAAAGATCAGTAACTTTATTAACTTTTTCTCAGTTTTTACTCATGCAGTAGCGACCTAACGTTTCTAACGCTGAAGGAAAAGTCATGATTTTATTATTAATTGAAGGTTTTTCAAAGACTATTAAATTATTCATTTGACACCATTTTCAGACAAGAAACTTTAACTGTTCTGCAGCAGAAGTCACAGAAGCAAACTTCAAGACATAAGTGCTGTTTGTTTACCTTGTATCAGCAGTAATATATTTTTACCTATGGCCGACGATTAAACAATGTTTTCCCTTGTCGTTTCAAAACTGCAGAATGAGCAGGGAATTTTGTTGTTTGTTCACTGGAAGTTAGCCTGAGAATCATATGTTTTAGGCGCCTGTTCGGGCACCCTGTTTGAAATTTTGGTGGCCCGAGGGTAACTCGTAGGCGCCTCTGGCAACCGGGCACCCGTAAGGCAGCAGCCTTGCTAGTGACCCCTCTGTTTTACAAGGCATTCATATTACAAGGAGAAACTTGATGCTGATCACTCTTATGGCTTAAAGGGTAAATATTCATGAAAAACAGGACCAGCAAAACAAGTCTGTATAATTGAAAAGTCAAGGTAATCAAGGTTCAACTGTAACCCTGATTAGTTAGCTGTTGCATACAGAATTAGGTAATTTTTTCATACTAATTAATGGAACCTGCAACCTTCACACGTACTCTTTTAAAGGCTTCCAGTTCAAAAACACACCCTGTTAAAGACACCAAATAGTGGGGAAGACTCAAGACCCTGAAAACCATACCCTGTACAGTGCAACATCCCTGTCTAGACCAAATGAGGGAGTGTCTCCACCCCAGAAGTAGAACCCCGTAGTAAAGTCAATTCTGACCATGTGAACACCTTGCTTTTATGGACACCTTGATAATAAGGATGTAAAAGCAGTTAAATTTCCATTCAAAATACAAATTATGGACTCTTAACCTGACCAACTGACCTGACGTGAGATTAGGTGTCTAAAAAACTCTTATACAAGTTCAGTTCTTTAAAATGCTACGTTAAATCAAGTTGATTTTTGTTAATTTTTTTAGTGATTGACAACATTGCATCACATATTTGAGATTCTTAGTGAAGTGGAATAGAATGGCAACCTGCAAAACAACTCACAGGAATGACTTTTGGACCAGCAAGAGAAAGCAACCCTGAAGACAAGGTAAACAACTCTCCTAATTTTCTTAGAGTAAATCAGGAGGCGGGGGTTGTGGGGGGGGGGGGGGGGGGG